TTGTAAATACTTAATTACAGGATTCTGACCTATGATATAGGTACCAAAATGTAAAGTTCAAAAAATGCCCATCCTGCATACTCATTTATAAATAGATTAATAAACATGTGAAAATGTGAGGAAGCGCAGCTTCCCGTCATTCTCTTATTTAGATAAACATGCTTAAATACCTTGCTTATAGGTATTTATAAAGACTTTGAAGGCATTTCTAGCAGTACAAAGTACTGAAAATGGCAATATAATAAAAAAGTTATGCCTGCATTTGTCTGCATAGTGCCAACATACAGAAAATACAATTAAGTCATACTTTTCTATAATACAAATACTATAAGAATTGTTATTGTTATTTCAATTTTAATTTATTGCTGATAGTGAAATGGTAGAACCCATTCACTCCCTTTTTCCTCTATGAATGATTGAAAATTCCTTTACTGTTTTGAGAGCAGGCGGTAAGCAGACATTTTCAGCAAATGTGTAGGCATTATATTAGTGACCAGTGACTTCTGGCACAGAAATGTGTTCTTATGCAGGCTGGTAATCATATAGTATGAGGGTGATTGACTCATTATGGAGTAAATTCCATTCTTCAAAATGAAATAAAGATGTTTATACTCTACCTAGTGTATGTGCTATGGACCCTCCAGGCTTGCAATGGCAAATACGTTCCAAAGCCTGGCTAGTAAGTCTGAAACATGGTTTCTATGCAGTCTCTTTCTTGCATACAAAACATACATCATCCAATCCAACACTGGCTTTTGTCCTCCCTCATTATTTCCCATTTGTGCCCTTGATATTTTTGCCTGGCTTTGCCTCCACACCACAATTTTCAATGCCCCCCTGGGTATTGCTTGTAGCATTCATCTTCCCAAGGGGTAACATAAAGTTCATGTTTTTTGGGGGGATAGCTCTTATTGGCCCCTTAGTGCAAGTTTGGGGCATTCTATTCACCGGAGTGTGATGCCTTTAAAGTTTTAGCAGGTTTGTGTAATATCAGTAGCTGCAAAAGGTGGGACAGTTCATAGACACTTCATTTTAAACTTGTCTAGGTGACATAAAAATGCACCAGAAAAGGGAGAATGGAACAAATTTAACTGAGAGTTAAATGTCATTGATAACATTACACACTTCTGTTCAGAGATGCATATAAATTAACATTATTATAAAAACTTACACAATTTAAAATTTTGATTAATTTGTTCTTCTGATACAGAAATATTGTGGGATAAAATATTTTAAAGATAATATATTATCTATTTGCCGCCCTTATGTCACTACCCCTTCACGCCCATTTCACTATTATCCATTCTACCGATGTTTTAACCCTCTTTTTTATATTATTTTACTACCGTCTACACCTCTATCCATATATTAATTAATAGAAGGTTTATTTACTATTTTAAATTAAATATTTTTAGTCATGATCACGATCATGTGACCATGATGTCATTTACCTGCCAATTTTGATTTTATCATGTATGTGACCCTATATAAGAATGTGTATGCCAGGTATTTGCTTGATTACCAATTGATAATGCCCATTGTAAGGGAAACGCTTTGTGGATTACTTTTACCATTACTTTTTGTTAAAATAAAGGTTTTGGCGATTTTACAAGTATTTTGTGCCATATACCTTTTTCTTTTATTACCTGACATCCTGATTTTATCTTCCCAGTGAGGACCTCACCAAGCATCCCAGGTGGGGATTATACTGAGCGGGCTATCTGCTCAGGAAAGTGTTAGTATATCTTCTCTTTTGTTACTCCTACTTTATTATATTTTATACAGTGAGCACTATTGTTGCACCTTTTTATTTTCACATATTTCCTGCTGCTAAGATATCTGCTGATTGGCACCTTCCATTGATATCCCTAAAGTGGGGAATCAAATCCACTGCAGGCGCACTATACTAGAGCTAGAACTATACTTTTAGCTCTATTCCATGTGAGCAGACCTTTTGGATTTCCTTTTATACAGCTATATTTTATTCTGAATGTATTACTATTGTTTTTATTATTGGGTATACACTTTTATTGTCATATACATAGTATAGGGTATATGACAATAAATGTGTATACCCAATAAAAAAAACAATAGTCCAAAATAAAGTCTTAATAGCAGTAAACGTGTGGGCCTGGTAGTGTTTGCTTGCATCCTCAAGTGTGTGTACCATCAAAATGTTCGGGATCCAGAAAAAAAAAAAGGCTCCAATAGTGTAATACGTTCAGAATAAAATATATGACATAGGACTTTGTATATCTTTGTATTTTTTACTGTCTTATTTACCTCTATTTTATCCTTTACCACTTGGCACACCTTATTATTTTGTATTTCTAAGCACAAGTTAAGGTTGATATGTCAAACTAAGCACAAGTTAAGAATAAAGTTGACATGTCAAACAAAGCAGAAGTTAAGGTTAAGGTTGACATGTCAAACTAATCACAAGTCAAGTTTATTGATTTGTTTAAAGTTATAATTAGTTGTCTTTGTTTTCTTGTTTGTTGACTTGACTCAAGTCAAGATGCATTGCCACTATGGCAACGCCCTGTTCGTCATATCTTTTGCCATACCTTACACCCACTATACTTTAAAAAAATATTGACTTTTTCATTGTGGCCAAGATTCATTAGAATGGCAGCAGCACCTGATAGTACTACTGTTTAGCATCGTCACTGTACAAATACGTCAACCTTTGTTCAGGAACAAGAAATCATTACAATAGGTCATGTTCGTATCATTTTTACATGCCAGTAATGTAGTGGAACTGTAACTGTAAATACACATTTGCTCAGCCAGTTCTACATTAAAAAGATTGCTTCATACCATTTCAGTATGTGAACAATGCATGAGACTTCTAGGACAAGCAAGCCTTATTTCTGGAAACAAACTTGCAATGGTCTCTCAGGGAATTCAAGCCATTCAAGTTGTGCTTGTCTATTCTCTTTTGTTTTGTTCTGTTTGTCTTATTCTGCCCTGTGAAGTACAGCTGGTACAATAAAAATTTAATCAATGCACTGCAAATTCAAACAGCGCATATTTGTCCTAAACTTATATCAAACTCAAGCCCGAAATCTTTCTATCAAAGTGTTGAATTTTAGTAAGCCCTTTAAATGCATATATCTATTTTGATAACTTACTGTTTTCTGGATTTTTTTGTTTACCACATTTTTTTTTTTATTAAATACCGTATATACTCGTGTATAAGTCGATCTCATGTATAAGTCGAGTGCAGTTTTGTGACCAACAATTGTGAAATATGCTATGCCTCGTGGATAAGTCGAGGGTAAAACTTGGGGCTATGAAATTCTGTGATTTTTATAATTATATACACACACACACACACACACACACTCATACAAACACACACTCTGCATTATACACACACACTCTGCATTATACACACACACACACACTCATACACACTGCATTATACACACACTCATACACACTGCATTATACACACACTCATAAACACACACACTCTGCATTATATACGGACACACTCATACAAACACACACTCTGCATTATATAATGCAGAATGTGTGTGTTTGTGTGAATGTAGAGTGTGCGTGTGTGTGTATATAATGCAGTGTGTGTATATAAAACAGTGTGTGTGTGTATATAATGCAGTGTGTGTATATAATGCAGTGTGTGTGTGTTTGTGTGTGAACTGGGTGGGGGAGGGCATTTTTATTATTTTTAATTTTAATATTGAAATCTTTTTATTTTAGTATTTTTATTTTGTTTTATTATTTAATTTTTATTTTCATCCCCCCTCCCTGCTTGTTAGCTGGCCAGGGAGGGGGGCTCTTATACCCTAGTGGTCCAGTGGATGGGCTTTGTAGGAGGGGGGCTGGCAGAGAGCTGTTACTTACCTTTCCTGCAGCTCCCTTCTCCTCTGGTCCGGTCAGCTCCACTGCAAGTCTCGCGAGAGCCGCGGGGTCAGAGCATTGCCACGGGTTACCATGGAAACGCTCCGCGTGGCAGTCACACCGCGAGACTTACAGTGGAGGAGAAGGGAGCTGACAGGAAGGTAAGTAACAGCTATCTGCCAGCCCCCATCAGGACCGCCGGGCTCATTACAATGTAAGTTGCCATAATACAGACACTGACTCGAGTATAAGTCGAGTGGGGTTTTTTTAGCACAAATAATGTGCTGAAAAACTAGACTTATACTTGAGTATATATGGTAAGTAATTTTAGTAGCTAATTTAGAAATTCTTTTTTAGAGGACAAATCTGTGTAACTGTAGTGCTATTTAATCCAAAGCAAATGCCTGAAAAAACAATTAGACAAAAATAATGAACAGCTTATTGATTAATCAAATGCTGTGATTTGCCAATATGTTTGAGTGAGTGATATCTCCGAATAGTTAAGGAAATATTCTGTCTATGTAAATGTTATCTAAGTTAACAAACAATACAGTACGGGAGTATGGTTGTGAGATGACCCTGATCTTACTCTTTGAAGGCATTAGGCGGCTGTTGGTAACTTAGTTATTATTTCTCTTGTGTTTTTTTTTTCTTGTTCCAACAAACCATTAATGAAAGTTGTATGTATATTAAGTAAGCAGACAATATTACATCTGCCCAAAATCTACTACTTAACATATGTTGCTACTTGTATCTACCCAGGAAAAGGTGATCATCTGATCTGTGTTATATGAATAATCTGCCAGACTCCCCTTTGTGACAGTGTAAAGAGAAAATATGTTGGCACTTTTTAAATAGTAGAAATAATAATAATAATTAATAAGATTCATTATATTGATTATTGAGCAAAATAGTATTGCTTTTAATTGAAGCAGAACAATTCTAGATCAACATATA